CGCACTGTTATTTCTGTGCATTCTGAACTGTGCAGCGGTCACAGGCGCAGTTGTCTCTTTTCTTTTTTTATGGCCCAATGGACCACAGATCAGATATTAAACTGACCAGAACAGATACTACACTTTATCTTAGCCAAGAGCCCGAGAAAGGTATTCAATTTGTCGAAACCAAGTGTGGACCCATGCTAGTGGAACTTGCAACTATCCTATTTTCCCCACATAAAAGACAGCCATTTCATATAATGGCCGTGCCGTTTATTCTGGGGAAGATGGAAGCGTAGATGCCATGACTTGGAAATTTCGTCAAATGTGACCAGAAAATACGACCAAGCTCATTTGAGCAAGTCCTATCTTCAGTGCCCAGAACCGCTTCGCTCTTATCTTCAAAATGATCATGATTTCAAACAAAAATTAAAAATTCCACGCTTTTTTCTTTTGAATTTGGATCACTTCTCTATTTATGCGTGTCATCCTTGTGCAGCAGGGGCCATGCGAACCTTCTCTGTATCATAACTATCGTTCCAATTTTTTTGAATTTTCTTTCCCCCCTTTTCAACGGCCTTGAGATACCAGGGCCCTAGGTATTTCAAATTTGCAGCAATTAGCCTTCAAAAAAAAAAAAAAAAAAAAAGATTGCAGTATTTTTCTCATCTGCTTCGAGTGGAGTTCGAACTCTGTTATGTATTTCAACAGTTTAGGGGTTTACCAACTGAGCTACCTTCTTCCTCCGAATACAACGTTGTATGGTCATTATAGCTGTATTTAGACTGAGAGATACCCCAAATTCAGCTATAATGACCGTACGTTGTATTGAGGGGAAGACTGAAGGCCAGTTGGTCCCGAAGGACGTCCACGCTTTCCCAAAGAAGAACGGAAGCAGATCTATTTCTTTTTTTATTTGATTTTTTCCACTTTTATTTTATTTATTTAATAAAAATGCAAAAAAAAAAAAAAAGGACCATTTCTCGATTTATGGCGTGTCATCCTTGCGCGGGGGCCATGCTAAGGGCCTCGTTCCACTACTCGCCATCCGCCACAAACAGTGGCGAGACTTGGCGAGGCCGAAAAGTGCATGTTTCTGGCGGAAAATGGCTCTTGGTTCCATTACATCGCGGCCGCCACGTGCGCTGTGGTTGCTATCCCGGCCTGCTCCCGACGAGCTAATGGAACGGTGGCGGCTTTCTCTTCACCACGTATTCGGACTGGAATCAATCTAGGTGCAGCAAAAACTGGCCAACACTAGGGGACAACACAGGTAGACTGTCAGGACCGCTGTGTCAGGGGCAATGGCCACACGAAGCATTTCGCGGAGGGGTGAGGAGTAACACCTCCACGAAGGGCCGTTGCAGGCAGGGGAAATAGAAAGCCTTGGCGACACATCGCCAAGTGATTTCGGACCCAAATTCTGACAGCGTCCATTTCGTGGCTATTGGCGATGCAGTGGAACTAAGTCACATTCGCCATGCGTGGCGGATGGCGAGTAGTGGAACGAGGCCCTAATCTTCTCTGTATCGTTCCAATTTTAACGGATGTCCCGAAGGACATTTTTCTTCTTTCTTCGTTCTTCCTTCCAGTCTTTTTTTTTTCCCTCTTCTTATCCGTGTCATCCTTGCGCAGGGGTCATCCAACTTTAACTGTTACAGATCTATTTCTATCCTTGAGAAGTTACAAGACGAGGACCCGCCGGGACCAAGTCCCACTAGCATTGCTCCTGTTCCTATAATGGGGACCTCCCTGTTGTGTGACACTCCCTGCCACCACCGATTTCCATGGATCGTAGGGCAAGGCCATTCGTGTGACACTCCTTGCCACCACCGATAGGGCAAGGCCATTCTCTTCACTTTCACGTTGGCTTATTGAGGCACGCTGTTAACTCAGTGCTTCCCCATGTTCACCTTCTTTTGTCAAAGGTGGTCTGTGAGTCCTCCTCTCTGGGGGGGTGCACATCAAGCTAGAATGGGGGACCGCCAGTCCCATTTCAGATATGGCGGTGATGAACCAAAAACAAAAAGGGAGAGGGCAAAAAAATGGAAGAAAAAGTTGAGTAAATACCTTCCACGTGTCAAGGCTAGAGTTACGATAGCAAAACCTGCACCACCAGATGGCCAAGGTCTGTTCGAGAAAGGAAAGCCTTCACCATTGTGCCTCGCTGCACTGCTCTCTCCAAAGGTGGAAGTGGACAATGAACTTTCCGCAAGAACATTGAAAAATACACTTCCATTATTCCATATGTTTTGTCTTTTGTGAATGCAGAGCTCAGTGCAGCTGGGCCCATACTCGGCGACGACGGCCCGCTGCGTTTTTGTTTTTTTTTTTTGCCAGGTACTCCATGCGGACGAACTGTAAGCGCCCTACACAGCTGGAATATTCTTTCGCCCCATGGAGAAAATAAGGCCGCACAACCCTACACAGCTAGAAAAGTTTTTTATTTTATTATTATTTTTTTTTTCAGGGGCCATGCTAATCTTCTCTGTATCGTTCCAATTTTAACGGATGTCCCCACGGAGAAAATACACAGCTGGAATATTCTTTTGCCCCACGGAGAAAATAAGCCCGCCGCGCGCTGTCGCAATGTGCCGCGTAGTTCTGAAGACAGGAACAGGACTGCCGCTAGTGGGACTTGGCCCCCGGGGGCCAAGCTCCGGAGGCCGTGTCCCACTTGGGGAGGTTTGTTTCTGGTTTCGAGTCTTTATAACGGGGTCACACTGTGGCCGTGAGATTTCAGATCGGATGGCGGGGACCCGTGGATACTCGAAACGAGAATTAAACCCTTCCAGGTGGCGCATGCCACCCCGGGGGAGGGAGGAAGGGGTGAAGGCTTATAACCACATCCACTGCATTCTAGACGTAAATGCACTGATAAATCAGGCTCAGCTGTGATCGCATTCAGATAAATCTAAGGTCCTAGTGAGACTACGCCCTCAATCTCCAAACGTTACCACCGTATGTGCAAGTCTGCAATAACCATGCAGATCATGCACCCAGGGGCAAACACGACTAGGTACATTCCAAGCAGCAGCAATCTTGGAAACGCAACTGCGATTCTTGACGTCTAGTCCACAGATAACCACATGCAAAAAATGACTTCGGGCATATACTCACACTAGGACTTTGTCTACAAAGCTGTGGACGTGATTGCAGTCAGATTCATCCACGTCCGGCCGGAATTGCAGTCAGATGCATTTGGAAAAGTGCCAGTGTGAGTATGCCCAAAGAACAGTGTCACACGAACAATTGCAGTTGCCCAGAACACAGTGCTAGGTAGGTAGTCAGATGCACCTTTTTTTTTTTTTTTTTTTTTCCTTACCTTCCCCAGTGTTGGGAAAATACGAGATGCTGGCCAGTACCCGAAATTTTCGGGGGCTAGGTCCCACTTGCACGAATTAAGAGATACTGACCGTAGATATCAAAGATCAACGGCCCAAATCTCCTAATTTGCGCAAGTGGGACCTTGCCCCGGGGGTCGGACAGAGGGTCTGCAATGTCCCAAAAGTCGTATTTGTTTTTTGCCCGTGCACGAAAGGGAAAGGAAAGAAAACGGGCCTTTGTACTGCAATGATGTCGTGCAGGGATGTCTAGGAGACCGTGCTCACAGTCTTGCATGCATCTTACAGCAAAGACGGTCACGTTCTCAAACTTGTTGTTTTCTTTTTTTCTTTTGTATTTGTTTGTTATGAGTACCCTGCCAACGAGGCAGGGCGGAATCGGTGATCTGCTGTAGTGTTGTTTCCTCAGATGAATGTACCCAGTCCTTTTCAAGGACGAATCCATGTTTTCGTTTTTTTTTCTTGTTTTCATTTTCTGGACTCTGACAATCTGAATCCGTTCATTTTCTGAGGGTTACAATCCTCTGACAATCTGAATCCGTGATCCACCTTTTTTAACTAACCTATACTCTTCTCTCAGTTTCAACTTTTTTGTTATAAAAAAAAAACAAAAAAGGTAAAATTGAGAACTGAAAAAAAAAAGTATGGCCTCGCCAGACCACCTTCGAATCGGAAAAAATACGACTGCATGTTCCCGCAGGAGTGGCCAGATGCATCCATTACTATAAAAAGTAACAGATGCATCGCGACCATTTTGTGGGAAAGATCCATTCGTACCTCTTCTTTTTTTGTTTTTGTTTGAACTCTCGTGCTGTTTTCGTTTCGACAGTGGTGTGGCGAGCAACTATATCGCAACCCGAAAGACAAGAGAAGAAAAACCACATTACCACCACCATGAAGGGAAGAAGAAACCGAGGGATCAAAAAAAAAAAAAAAAACAGGGGATGGAGTTAAACTGTGGAACAAAAGCAATCACCACAATCGTCGCTACCAGCATGAAGAAGGGGTTAATTTTCTCACTTGGGGAGCAATCAATGCCCTGGGGCCAAGTCCCACTTACCCGAATTCGCAATTTCCGACCATAGATTAGAAAGATCAACAGCCAAGAATTAACTATCAGCATAGGTGGAACTTGGCCCCTGGGGTTTGTCTAGTGCGAAATGCTGCCTATGGGCCTCGCTGCACTACTCACCATTTGCACAAACGACAAAAAATATGAAGGTGTACCTTTCCATGTTCTAGCAGAATATTCATTCGCTTTCTGGGCATTTGGGGCATCGCCACACCACTCTCGAAATGTGTCAAAATGAGAATGATCTTCTCGCTTGAACATGGCCAGATGCACCCGCCACATTTTTGTCTTTTTCACATTTTGAGAGCGGGGTGGCGAGGCCATTGCTGAGTAGTGGCGCGAGGCCCCATCATGCCCCCCATGTACATTGATTTCTTTCCTTGTCAATGAAACGGTGCACGCTTCTCGAGTGAAATGCTGCTGGGAGTCCTTCGGGACATCCGTTAAAATTGGAACGATACACAGAAGATACCATGGCCCCTGCGCAAGGATGACACGCATAAATCGAGAAATGGTCCAATTTTTTTTGGAAAAAAGAAAAAGAAAAAGAAATGCTGCGGGGGAAAAAAAAAAAAAAAAAAAAAAAAAAAAAAAAAGGGAAAAATGAACCGAGCGAGCGAGGTGAACGAGGGAGGGGGAGACATCTAACCGAAGCAGAAGGCAGTCTTGTTGAAGGACGAGGCTGATTCGCCCGCCCGCAAGGCCAGACAATAGAGACGAACGGCACAATCCTCCAGCGGCGTTTCCGTCTGCTTCTCAAATTTTCGAAGAAGAGCTTTATTCTTCTTACATGCCTCCAAGAAGTGATGGAAGAACTCGGCACTCCCGAAGGAATCACGGAAGAGCTTCTCCTTCTCATCGGCATCATCATCCTTTTGTCCTTGTCGTTCGACCATCGCCCTCCATGTCGTCGAGGCGGACGACGAGCACGTGGCATTGCCAGAAGACCTCGATCCATTCTGAAGATTCTGAGTCCAGACACGACTGCTTCTTGGGTTGATCGTTGACGTTGACCCAGAATGACGAGCCCCCGCGTGAAAGGGTTGACCGCTGACTTTGCAACAATCACCGCGGCCGACATCTTGTCGGCTGACCGTTGACGTTGACAAAGACATCGATCGCTGACGTTGACTTGACTTTTTTTCCGCGTCGGCGGCAGCGGCGGTGCGTTTGCGACTGCTCCCGCTCCCGCTCCCGCTCCCCCCTCCTTGTCGATTCCACGTCGATGATGATGACAGCTTGTTGTTCCTGCCAACTTCGTTCCTTCCCGCTTTGTTGTTCCCGCCAACATCGTTCCTTCCCGCTCTGTTTTCCTTGCCCTTGCTCGTCAAGTACTGATTTTCCGTAACTCCTGAATTTGGCGCCATCTCTCGTTGTTTCCTTGGTAAAGCTTCACCGGAGCGGCGATTAGCAATTCCCGGTTGCGTCTTCTTCTGTATCTGCGGCTGCTCGACCGGGCGTTCTTCATCTGCTGCTGCTGTCTGGCGCCAAGTCCCTCCTCTTCCTCCCCCCCTCAGATTTCGATTCAACCTGCCCGTTGAGTGGTTGGCGCCACGCGGCGGTAGCGTGTCGAGGGAGGACCTCGACCTCCTCCTCCCAACCCTTGTCAATGCCGCCTTGTCCTCCCCCTCATCTTGATCGGGTTTACTCTCACATGCATCTCGCAACTGACAGGCTCGCTCTCGCTGGGAGCTGAAGCTCTTCTTCTCATCTGCTTGCGAGCGACCGTCCTGCTGCAAGTGGGAGCTGGCTCTGGTAACCCTGCGGCTACCGGTAGTAGCATCCCCCGTGGTCGCCGCCGCCGCCGCCGCCGCCGCCGCCGCAGTTGGTCTTGGCGGCCGAGGTGGCCTCCCTCCTCGTCGATTGACTGGAGCTGCTGTATCCCTCTCCCTCTCCCTCTCCCTCTCCCTGCCCTTCTCCCTCTTGGAAGCTTCGCCGCCGCAGCTCGAAGTTCGACATCCAATTCGCCGCCGTCCCCCTCGCACGTCGTTCTGTCTCCCAGCGTCTTCCAGTACTGTAACTGTCTCATCGGTCCCCACGGTCCCATCGTGTCCGCCATAGCCATCGCCAGCTTCATCGGCAATAACCGAGATTTCTGTGGCGTTATCGCTCTCCCTCCTGGCCAACTTCTCCTGTTCTCGTCCTCCCAGCGGAGCCCTATTCTTGCTCCCGTAATCTTCAATTCTCCTCAGAGTCCTCCCGGCTTCGCCAACTTCGGCAACTTCGGCAACTTCGTCAGCTTCGCTGTTAGTTATGCTGCATTCTCCCTCCTTGGCGGCGTCGGCGGCGGCGCTATCCCCGCACCGCTCTTGCCCGGCGTTGTCATGTGCTTTCTCCTTCTTCCTATCGCCGCCGCCGCCGTCCTTTGCAGTCATAGGGCTCGGGATCCTCTCTATCATCTCCTTGTCGTCATTATCCCTGCTCAGACCGTCTGGCTGCGACGCGCCGTCCCCGTCAGCCGGCGACGAGCCGGTATCCTCTTCCATGCCATCTTCTTCTCCCCCCTCGGCCTCCTCATCGTGCACGCTGACCGCCCTTTCAAATGCGGCTTGAATCAGAGAGGTGTCGTCCACAGAGCCCTTGCTATCGCTGAAATGTTCTCCTGCCTGAGGTCGAGAAAGACGCTCAGGCTGAGTGTCAACCATAGAGACTGGCAGAGTGTCATCGAGACGTCGACTAAAATTGGTAATTCCCGCAGGAACCCCGGCAAGAGCAACGGCAACAGCGTCGGCAATGGCAGCGCAGCCATCCTCCTGGACATCCATTGCTGTAGCGTCCGAATCGTCTGAGTCAGCCTCCACCACATCTGCATCTGCCATAATTGATAGGCTAAGCCCCTTCCTAGTACTATGTTCTTCAACACTGCTCTGGAGTGCCACTCTTTCTACTATCGGTACTCTCTCTGCTCCCGAAGAAGAGACAACCTCTGAGGCGGTGCTCGGCTCTGAGTTGACCGACGCGTTGAAAGGCCAGCAACATAAAGATCGTGCGATATCCATCCCACCCCCCTCCCTTTGCTTCCTTACTTGCGTCCGTCCGTCAAGTATTACAACCACGCCTCCCTCCTCACTGTGACAGTAAAATGCTGCTGCCTATGTTATTAATGATTAGCCGATGATTAGTTCAACTCAAGTTATCGCAGGACAACGACGCACTCTACAACCCGTTCGCTGAAGTCTTTCAAACACGCCTCTCTCACTCTGACGCTAAAATGCTGCTATCTACCTTAGCAATGAAATGATTAGCCGATAATAATTAGCACCATTCGAGCTATCGCAGGACAAACGACGCCCTCTAGTACCTCTACACCGACGAATGCTAGCTCTAACAGCTAGAGGCACAAAGGGATTTGAGAGAATGGTGGAGTTTCTGCACATTCACGGAAGGTCAAGCACGCGCTGCTAATACGCAACAAACGCCATAGCCTTCCGGCAAAATCAGAGCAGCAGTCTTCGATTGAGTTAAATTAGAAAAATTGATCATTCCTGAAAAACAAGCCGCCAAGACCATAAACACGCTTGGGGAGCGTCATGAGAAGCCGGAGGTTATGACATAGGCTAAGCGAGCGCAACGGGTTTCAGCCGGCTCTAGGTCCCGCCTCTGCACAGGGAACTTCCCGCTGCAGCAGGGACGTTGCGGGTTCGATTCTTTCAGGCCCTCAATTTACCCTGTGTACCATCAGTTGGTACAGGTTGCCGCCCCGCGTACTTGTGCCCCGGCCCAGTGCAGCGCAAAGAGAGATCAGTTGGCATCGTAGCTTAGGATGTTTGGGCTGGGGGACTGTGAGGGAGAGGTGCATGGTTCGATTCTGGCAGACATAGCTTGGTTCTAGAGAAGGGGGGATAGCAGGCGGCCCGTGGCCGGCCTAGTCAATCGGGGAATGGGGGTACTACCAGGCGGAGCGTTGTCCCAAGCACATCGTTGTGGATGGGAAGGTGATGCCAGGGTCAGGGGCAAGAGCAGAATTTGGGGTTGTCCTGCTCTGACAAAGGGAGACCACTAGGCGGGATGGTAGCCTAAAGGGTGGCACAGTAGTGCCAAGCGGGTTGAGGGGGATGGACGGGTTGTGAGGACATAGCTCGAAGGGCACCATGGTGGATGGGAGATGGTGCCGGGCCGTTAGAGCTTTGAAGTGGGGGGAGCAAGAGCAGATAGGGGTTGTCCTGCGCTGACGAAGGGGGACCACTGCAGTGGCGTAGTGGCCTCAACGGGTGGCAGAGTCGAGTCAAGGGAGTGTGCCCACTCCCGAACAAGTGATCAGATGACGACTTATACAATCACAGAACAGGGGCCAGAACAACAGCAGTATAATTACATACATGCGATACACAAGTGGTTAACAGGGACCCCCCCTTTTCAGCCCCAGGTTATCCCCCAAGGCACGGAAAAGTGCATTCGGATATGGGGATAATCTTTTTCAGTTCTTTTTTTTCTCTTTTGCGACCTGTTTTATTTTTGGTCAAGGTCTGCATGTGCCAAGTTTGGTGTTTATTGGGGTTTTGGAGACGTCTGTTTTGGCAAGCCCTGAAAATCCTGAAACTCCCCAAAAGCCAGAAAGAGCGAATTTTGCATGAAAAAACATTTATCCCTTGGGGTTTTAGGCTCCTTTGGTCCTTTATTTTCTTTCTTTTTTGGCCTTTGTTTTATTTGGTGTGCACACTATGGACTGGTGACAAGTTTGGTTTAAAAGGTGTGGCAGGTTTAAAAATCCCGAAAAATGGGAAAGAGCGAATTAGAATGAAAAGTTTGAAAACACATCTTTTGCCTTGGGGTTTATGGGACGCTGGGCCCGGTTCCCAGCACATGCTGCTCCCCACGAATAGATTGGAGCCTTGTTCCCATAAAAAAAAAAAAAAAAGGCTCCTCTGGTTCTTTTTTTTCTATTGTTTCATTTGGTGTCCACTATATGGACTGGTGACAACTTTGGTTTCAAACGTGTGGGAGATTTGTTATAAAGACCCCGCAAAAACGCTGAAAATTTTGGGCTCTGTTAACTGCTTCTCGCTTTGTGGTGATAGGAAACAGTCGAACACCCCGTATTTTGACGGTGGTGTGGCGAGCCCCTAAGGCAGCGAGGATTGCTGGTGAAGACAAAAACGACCCCTTCAAAGTTGAACTAACAAAAGACGCGGGGCCCAGACAGAAGACACCTGGGCATACAAGCAGATCCAGATGCAGATCATGCACATACACATCGGATTCTGCACATTGAGGTGCATTCCAACCGGCCTAGTTGTTGCATTTGCAAACCTTTCTTTTTTTGGGGGGGGGAAACTACTCAGGAGTCACAAAAAGAGTTGATACTTCAGGCAAAAAAGGGTTTCAGATTGACTCTGGGCAATGTATACAAGCTATCTTCCGGTCAAGTAGGGTCATGTGGGGGTGTGTTGTGTTGGGGGAATGCCTCAAGTTGAATTTCAAACTGTTTTTGTGACTGTACTGCAGTTACCCCTTTTTTTCTTTAAAGCGTGTTGGTGGTGCTGCCAGCCTGCCAGGGGTGATGGCAGCACCCCTGAGTAGCACCGCACCAGGAGGCTCCTGTCTATTGGTGGGGAGCGACACCTGCTGGGAACCGGCCCCAGCATCCCTTGCTACGTGTACAAGACCGGGGCCATTACCCAGCTTCAGCTAGAAAGCTTTTAGAGAATAGATGAGGCTATGGGAGCAGTCACCTGGTTTCTTCGGGGGCACCGAGGCACCATTTGTAGTCTAAGGGGGCAATAGCCTGGATGGCCCAGGGGTCACTGGGGCATCAGGTACTGACTGCTGACGACTGAAGTTGACTGGAGGAAACTGAGAAATTGCACTGAACTGAGCTGGGGGTAAAGTGGTTATGGAAAGGGAAGGTGCTGGCTGTCAGTCTGCGTTGGGGAGCTGAGAGCGGGGCCTGCTTCCCTTGCAGCAGCCTGTGCAGACCATCCTTAGCTCCAACCGACAAGGATAGAGCATGTGGCGGGAAGGGGTTAGGAAAGCCGGACGGTGGTCTGAGGGGGATGCTTCAGTCCAGCTTGGTCCACTTCTTGATGACGAGCCAGTAGTCTCTGGTGATCTCTTCCTGTTGCCCGGTGCTCCGGTCTTCCTGCTCCTGCTGATACTGTGTATCCCCTGTCCATGTCACGGATGCGATCCAACCCCTCGGTGTCCCCCCAGCCAGTCCCTAGAGAATTCTTTTACTTTCACAAGAAAGGGTTTGTCTTATGTCTGTCTTGGCGTGGAAAAGATTGAGCTTCTCCTTTGTTGTTTGGCACCTATCGAGAATTTCTGTAGTGAAGTGTTGCCTGATTTGCTCAGTTCTCTTCTCCCCCTCCACCCGTGTCTCATGAAGAGTCAGAATAGAGTATTGCAGTGAACACCGGCCATAATTGGGCCCGGCGGTCGGGAACCCGACCGCGGCCTCAGCTGGAGGCGATCGCCGATCGGGTTCTGGCCGTGGGCTTTTGGGATTTTTTGCCGAGAAACTAAATTAGCAAATAAATAAATAAATAATATGAGATTGTAGGGTTTTTCAAACCCTACAACCCTATATTTATTTTTCGAGATCAGACCGTTTTCAATTTGTTTTAAATGAAAACCGAAAAATAATAACATTTAAACTCCCAAAAAAAGAACAAAAACGTATTTTTAAAACTATTTTCTCCTTTTTTTTTGTATTGATTGATTGATTGATTGACTGGTTGGTTCCCCCCCCCCCACACATACAAACACACACAAATACACGAGTCGACAGAGAGGAAGTGCGAGTAGGAGGAGGGGACTACAAAAGGTGAGAAAGGCGGGGGAAGGTAGGGAGATGAATAAGCTGAGAACATTCGTTCTCCTGCCCACCAGGGTTACGGGCAACCCCAGAGTTAGAACCAGGAATTCGCCGGACAACCAAGCCAACAAGAGGCAACGAGGTAGCCCACCCCTCGTCATCTCACCCAGACAGAGGGTGCTCCCGTTCGATCCTAGGCCCAGCCTGAGGCAGGAAGAACCCCCCCAAACCATGAACCCGCCGCGACAGCCTCCGCTGCAAGACGAGGCTGCTGGGATGCGTGTTTTACAACCCCCCCCGCGGATGGGTCAACAACAGGCCGAACGAGTAATGGGCAGGTCCGTGCACTATGCAGTCACAGTCTCTACCCATGGTAGAGCTAGATAGAACAGTACCGACGGCATGCGAGCTAACGGAGGCAGAAGGCAACTACCTTCCCAGGAAGCTTCTGCTGTGTCCACTGCCGAGTCTGCAAGAGCGAGAAGGAAAGACTATGCAAAACAGAAAGGGAAGAAAGGGTGCATCTTAAGAGCTAGCCCTGCATGCCTGCTTGTGCTTATCTAAACTATAGGACATGTCCCCCATGGTTTCTTTCTTTCTTTCTTTTGTTCTCTCTTTCCTTTTTCCTTTTTCGTTGTCTTTTTCATTGTTTTCTTTCTCCAGACAGTATTCCCCTGAAATCTATCATTACTTAGGTACGTGATGGGCCATTCACATGCATGATGATGTCCTCCATGGAAGTAATGTTCAATGCGCAGGACGAACTCTTCAAGCAGGAAGAAGGGGGTTGCATGGCCCGATTGCCTTCGAGGAGGCTTGCTTGGAGAAGAAAGAGGCAGGAGAAACAAGAGTCCGTACATGTCAGATATACGAGCAGGCTTATGGAAGCCGTACCATTGAGGCAACTTGTCATGGAGGGGCTGAAGCAGGTGGTGGGGGAGAAGTTGGGAAGCTGGCTGGACGAGATTATCATCGGGTGGAAATGTGATGAACCGCTTGGCACGAAGATTTGCAAGCCTGGCAAGGTGTTCAGACAGTTCAGGAAATTCAAGATGGCAGAATGGGAATCGAATTACGATCCCGAGTGTTGCAGATGCGGGTTGGGCAGGCACGCGGACGTTCTGAGCCCTGCAGCTATAAGACTTCTACCAGGGGAGGGTACAGTGCATGTCATCACTAACGATACGGGGATCACGAATAACGGTTAGCTGCAGCTGATGCTGAACGGAGGTCTCAACCATATTCCAACGAGAGCATTGGATGAAGACTTCGCCCTGGGAGAAATAGGGGAGGCCGTAGACTACATCCTGACTACCACGACCTGTGACACAGAACTCTCAATGGAGGAGGAGAAACTAGTGAAAGTAGGAGAAACTGATGAAGAAGTTTGTCATGAGCAAGGCCAAGACCAGCATCAGGCAGTACCACACACAACACAGGCATATAATGGAGGAACCAATCAACAGCATCCCCGTCCGAAGTGAGATCATGACAAGTGGCTGACCGAGAGGTACCGTGTTCGCCCGACGGACA